AAACAAGACATTTGGAGGCAGGTCGTAACACCACTCACAGTCTTAGCAAATTACTTCTCAGAGTTAGGTCGTAACACCGCTCACCTCATCATTTAACCATAATTGTATTTTTAAGTGAAATAAACAACATTTTAAATAAATACATCAAGTGTTCATTTCTACGTTGTTAACCTATATGAATCGGCGTCAGTCGGGACGCAACAATTCTAATACATAACATAACTTACTTTAAATTCATTAAAAATAAAGCTGTTTGATATTTTACAGAGTTAGACAAAAATTTAGTGTCTTCATCAGAAAATATTTGAAATTAAAATTAGGTAATTAGTATCAGTTTTAATGAACAATATAATGATAAACAAATTATTAAATTTACTAGTTATAATATGGTTAACCATCTTTTCTAGTATTTCTGAATTTAGTCATAATACCTACTGTATAAATAATATTCTGTGAATCTGGGCATAGCCCATTCGGCTCCCGATTTTCCTAAACGGCTTTCGTTTTCAAAAAGGTCAATTCCCAAACGGCTCCTGTCGAAAAAGGTTTTACGAACAGGTCAATACCCAAACGGCTCCCATCGGAAAAAGTTTTACTATCAGGTAAAATCCAGGTGGTAATCCTGTTTATTACAACACAAATTTCTTTCCACTTCATACAGACTTAGGACTGTCTCTAAAGAGAACATACACACAACGGCGGCGGATATCGTGAACAGACCGTAGTTCAAACAAACTACACAAGCTGACACAATTGTGTGCCATATCCATTATCCATTTAATGGATTCCATTATCGCATAATCGTTGGATATTTCCAATTAGCCATGAACACATAATATGCTATAGATTATACATCGTTGATATATGAGTCATATGTACACGACGAAATAATACACACAAGCTTTGGCGATTATGATACTCGCCGAGTACGAGTACGTATAATATTATATATGTATATATATATAATTAATTTCGGTATACAAAAACTGTATACAGTTACAAAATCTAAAAAAAAAATATAAAAATATTGTAAAATCGTGCGTCTTAAAATGTGCGATTCCGTACGCTGACAAAGACCGTACGGAACCGTGTTCTACCCATTTTTTCGACGGGAGCCGTTTGGGAATTGACCTGTTCGTAAAACCTTTTTCGACGGGAGCCGTTTGGGTATTGACCTGTTCGTAAAACCTTTTTTTATGGGAGCCGTTTGGGAAAAATTAACAATAGACGGGAGCCGTTTGGGTATTGACGGTGAATCTATGATATAGTGATGGGCGATTCTTGAAAGTGATTGATAATTGATATTTGAATTTTGAATAGATTTAAATCGGATTGGAAGAAATCGAATTTTTTCAATTTTTATATTAAAATTCGAAACATAGTTATTTTAGTTATTTAAATCACGAATTCACGATATGACGTGTTATGAGTCAATTTTGATAGTATATAAAAGTTTTAAATACTATAATTAAGGGTCGGGCCACACATAGCGGTCGAGCCGCAGCGGTTCAACCGCTCACCAAATTTAAATTGTTTTATTTTAAATGCAACCACCCGATACGCGTTCACACTTACGCGGTTCAATATAAAAATCGACCGCAACATGTCGCGGTTGACCCGCGTGCGGTTCGACCGCCCAAATGATCAAAACACATTTTTTTGAATTAGTCCGTTCACACATAGTCGCGGTACATTTTTTCAAAGATCACTTGCATTAAAAAAAGAATTCCAATAGTGGGGCCTAAGGTTTCTAGTAACTTTCATAACCTAAAATTACACTGTTTTTTTATTTGTAAAAAAAAATGATGTTTTAAAATATAATTTAAATTTTTTTATCAAATCTATTATAAAATACATGAAAATCTGGTGTATTTTCTTTAGGAACAGCGTATAGAAATATGTTGGTATATAACGTAAGTAGGTATGTAATAATATAATAAAATTTTAAAATGCCTCACATAATAATAAAGATAATATACTTACTACTTAGATATAACTAATTTTTCATTACGAGCATGTCAACTGTAGTAATTACTAAGTTTTAAAATATAATAATTTTTCAATCACCCAATACTTTGGTATAACCGCACGCGGTTCGACCGCGCATATGTGAACGGTAATCTGGCGGTTGAACCGCTGCGGCTC